TATATATATATTTAAGCTGATCCAAGTTTGGAGATGTTTTTCACAATACATTTCCCATCCTTTAGTCCTCCCCAACTCACACTTCACCATTAGAAAAATTCAGTTTGGAATAAATAGAAAGAAGAAAGAGTAATAAAAGCACCCAGAAATTTTCATCTTTTGGAAAGTGAGCCACTGGATAGGAGAGAATGTTTTGTAAGAGACTATTTTTATATGAACATTTTATTTATTTTGCATCTGGCTGTATCATTCTGTCACCTGGGCTTCTTAATTCCAGGACTTGCTCTGTGGTAAGGAGGGGAAAGGCCTGGGTGTGGAGTCAGAGGACCCTCACACAACTGGGTTTTCAAGTTCTGTTGATCAAATGGGTAAAAGTAGCCATGGATGCCTGGGCTGTCGTGTCATTGGTATTACCTGAGAAAGGACTTAGACCTCCAGTCTCAGCCTATTAAGTTCAGGCTTTAAGAGCAAGGTCACTGAGCAGTGACCTCATGATTAGCCATTTGGTGGGCAGGTGTGTGCATTGGGACCAACACAGGGACTTGGTCATGGCCACTTGGCAGAAGCCAGCTCAGGGAACTCCTCACCAGAATGCTCCTGAATTGCTGAGTGCCCTGGGGGATAGGAGTGAGGCATAGACCTCAGCTAAAAGGCAAAAAAGCTGGGGTGAGACGTCCCATGAGTAGCTGGGTTTCCTGGATGTCACAGCCACAGGGTAGACTGTCAAAGAGAGGGATGGACGAGGCCTCTCTGCCCTTGGTCCCCCTTCTTCCAGTGCCTCTGTACTTGGAAAGCTTTCCTTAAGGAGGCCGTGGGTGTTCTGCATCCGTGTGTGTGTGTATGTGTGTGTGTGCGTGTGTGCGTGTGTGCGTGCGCGCGCACACACACACACTCGCGCTGCAGCTTTAGGGAATCTTGGGATGGTCATGTGACTTTGTGCTTTCAGGTGTCTCTTGTGTGCTCCTGTGTGTACCCAACTATTTCTGTTTCTCTCCATCTGTGTGCCTGAAAGATTCGGGGTGGTGTATGCATTTGGGAGGTGCCTATGTATCTCTGCTTGCAGGGCAGGGCTGATGGTGTTGAGTCAAACCATAGGGACCTTTGGCAATTGTGTTGAGTCACAAAGAGATGGCACTTCTGAACTCTGTGCCCACAGGTACCTCTGAGATCACAGCCCCATGGCCCCATAAACTGGGAGCCTCTCAATGTCTAGGCTGTATTGGACACTCCAGTGTCAGCACTGGGCCTGGATCACAGCATAGACAAATAAAATGGCTGGAAAGTTGGTTGATTTCTTCCCTTTGACATTTTTTTTCTTCTTTATTTGGGTATCAGGATGGGTAGGCATGAAGGAATGAGTGCATGGGTGGATGGGTGAATGAATGGGTGAGTGGGCAAGTAGGCAAGTGCATGGGTGGGGGGTTAATGGGTGAGGGAGGAGAAAATGCAGAAGTTTCTTGAAGTCTCCATGTCACAGTTTATCTCTGCCTCGGAAGCCTGCAGTGTCCACCATGAGCAAAGAGGCTTCTTAAGCCTTCAGCCCCTCTGCTCCCGACTGGCCTCATAGCACCTGAGAGTGAAGGAGATTCTGATCACCTCCCAGAGGCTCATTTAATGTAATCACATAAACACCCCATGTCTTCTTTAACTATTCAGATGAGGAGTGGGCCTGGCAGGGGGCAGCTGGCCTTGTGAGAAGAATGGCCAGGTCAGCTGCCAGCCTATCACTTGGCTCCTTAGTACACTGTTAGTTTCAAACCTAGGGACCTGCCCTCCCCCCAAAGGTGCCCAGCTAAGTTGTGCTCTGAGCCTCAGTTTCTCCATCGCAAAAGTGGAATAAAAATACCTACCTCACAGGGCTGTTGTGAGGGTCCTTTCAATAATGATTGTATGGCACTTTGAGTTTCAAAGCAATGGATGGATGCTAAGTATTATTATTATTAAGTATTATTGTTGCTATTTTAACTATTCTCTCCATAATGATAATATTCTTAAAACATAGCTTATAAGAATACATATTTTGCTCTGTGTTAGGCAGAGATATCCCCTCTTTGTTTTACTCCTAAAGTGGCTTTTCAATAAAACTGCCATAAAAAGACAAAAATCTTAAAAGACTGAAACAAAAAACACAACAGCAGAAAGTCCAGGACTATAGTTTGGAAAGCTCAGGGTCCAGGTGGATAACAACTGAGGGAAGTGAGCTGCTCAATGCAAGCCCATTGGAGCTGCATGAAGATGTGGGCATCCTCATAGTCAGACTCCCTGATTTTTCTTTAAGCCTCACCCGAGGATATGTTTTTATCGATTTTTAGAGTGGGGCGGGGAGAGAGAGAGAGAGACAGAGAAACTTTGATGCAGGATGAAAACATCAATCAGTTGTCTGCTGTATGTGCCCCAACCAAGGATTGAACCTGCAACCTATGTATGTGCCCTGACCAGGAATTGAACCCACAAGCTTTTGGTGTACAGAGTGATGTTTCAACCAACTGAACCACTTGTTGGGGCAGATATACTTTTTTAATATGGAGCAAAACAGGACTGCAAGCTGAACTTGCCTTTGTGCCTCCAGTGTGCAGCCTCTGACTTGGACCAAATCTCTTGTTTTAGAGATGGAGAAACTGAGGCGCAGAGAGAGACAGGACTTTTGCAAGGCTACATAACAAGCCCAGCAGAGGGAAGACAAAAACAGGACTTGTGCCTCCCGGAAAGGCCAAGAGAGTGCATCCCTGAGGCAACAAAATAATGTGGAGGGGTGGGGTGGGAGGGATGAAATTCCTACTGGTTCAGACTACCACAGGGTGGGGCAAAAGTAGGTTTATAGTTCTAAGTACACAAAGCACAGAGTTTATTCTTGATTATTATTTATTAATCATTGTATTGTTTTTCATATGAACAACTAAAAACCTACTTTTGCACCACCCTGTATGTGTTCTCAGGCGTGTGTGCAAATACACTCATGTCCTTCTGGACTTAAATTTAGAACTAATTCAAGTCTCCACTGGGCGATGGGTCTGCGCTCTCAACCACTCTGTAGGAGGTGCCCTGGCAGCCAGCCAGTGGAATCCCCCAAACTCCCATTCTCCTACCCACACCCCTTCAATCAAGGAAACCCCTTAGCAAGACCCAGGTCAGGAGAGTCCTGGGTTGACCTGTTTCTCTACCCAAGGTAGAGCTGTCCCTTGCAATCTTCAAGGCAAGTTTTTGATGTGTTTCCTGAGACCCTAGGAGGGCTCCATTTCCACTTACAAATGAAGACCAACCTCCTGGAAGCAAGTGCCTTCTTCAAGACCCCAGCCCCATGAAATGGGAAACAGGCTGCAGTCTGGTTGTCTCACATCAGCCTATGGTCCTGAGCCTTCTGTCACCTATAACAGAAGCTTAAGAAAGAAAGAAAAGGCA